GATCATGCGGTTTGTCTGGCTATAGCAATACATCAACTAAGCCATAAAAGTTTTTATTGTTTGGCAAGTTGAACCATCTTGCATAAATATAAGATTTTTGACATTATTTTTAATATTTTTAATTTTTTTTGTCAATTTTTGACTTTTTTGGCTGGACATCAATCCCTCTTCTTTTAGCTTTCTACAAATGGTCCGGTCTGACACAACAATTACAACTTCATGGATAAGCTTAGTGGCTTTTTTTCTGTTTTCCAGGCAGATGTTTCTGATTATACTGTCCGCTCTTGGTGTTTTCTTGCGTTTAGAAGGTGGTCTCCTTGGACACAACTCTTCCCCTGTATCAATTCTTTTTCTTACTTGCATTACGGTTTGGTAAGAAACCTTTGCGGTTTGTGCAATTTTTCATTGAGAATAATTTGTATTTTGTCTAAGACATGTTTATCAATTTTTAATGTAACTATAATAATAATAACAATGTATAATGCAGGTTGTTGACCAATGGTTTATAATCAAAATTTAATATGGCTGGCGGTAAAGGTAAAGAGAAGTTTAAAGGAACAAACGTTAGGTATTTACTTGTAAGTTAAGTGTAAAATTATATATTTTTTAAAAATCACAGTTCGTTTTTTTAATGCTATTTTATTTTTAACTTTTTGATGTATTTGATGAAAGTTACTCAGGCAGTACCTTTTTTATAGAGAGAGTTTTGTCAATTAAAGTGACTGCTACAGTTGCCGAAATAAGAAAAGGAATAATGACTTTATTAAAATACGCACTCGACAGATCAAATGGTGGTGGTCGGCGCGTAAAAGGCGATAAACCCGATGTATAACATTCATACTTTTTCCTAGTTGTTCTGGAACTATTAATAATAGTTATTATTGATAAATTGATAAATATATTACTGATAAATAAAACTTTTTTTTTTCAAACATTTTATTTTATTTGCATTGTATATAAAGTCCGTTGAAGCAATTTAGTTGTATCTGATTAATTTACGTGAAATATAATATCCTCTGCGCAAATTATTGCTTTTTTATTGTGTTATTTTATTGCAATTAAAGTTGAGAAAATTTTTTAGTTAATTGGATTTAACCAAAATAAAAAACAAAAATCAACGTTGATTCAACGTTGTTTTAACGTCTTATCAACTACGTATCAATCAAATATATCACCTATTCAAAGTTGAAATATGGTTGATATGTAGTCAATAAGACGTTAGATCAACGTTGAAACGACGTATTCATCGACGCTGTTTCAACGTCGTAGTTTTCGACGTCGGATTTTATTTCCAATTCAACGAAATTTCAACGTTGTTTCAACGTGGCATATGGTCGGTTTGCGACGTTGTTTCAACGTTATTTCAACGTCATTGTGCCGGCTGGGTTTCAATCAGACAAGGAATTTTTCCTGATCAATTTAAAATTGCAAAAATCACACCGATATTCAAAGGAGGAGACTTAACAAATATCAATAACTATCGCCCTATCTCTGTTCTTCCAGTCTTTTCTAAAGTCTTAGAAAGAATTATTTATAACAAAATTTACACTCATTTAACTAACAACAATTTATTATTTAACCACCAGTATGGATTCAAAAAAACAACTCTACAGTGCACGTGATTCTCCAGCTAACACGTAGTATCACAGAATCTTTCGAGAAATCCAAATATACTTTAGGCATCTTCATCAACCTATCAAAAGCCTTTGATACAATAGATCATAAAATTCTTTTTAAAAAACTCAAAAATTACAGAATAACTGGAAATGTTTTAAAGTGGATAAAAAGTTATTTAAGTAATCGCAAACAATTTGTAACCATTGACGCTTCTTCTCCAATAAGGTTGTTAGAAATTACTTGTGGTGTTCCTCAAGGATTTATTCTCGGACCACTTCTTTTTTTTATATATATCAACGATCTCTAAAAAGTATCCAGATTAAAAACAATCATGTTTGCAGACGATACAAACTTATTCTTATCTCATACTAACATCACTACTCTGTTTCAACTTATGAATGTAGAATTAAATAAGATTTCTTACTGGTTTAAATTAAATAAATTATCGCTTAATATTCAAAAAACAAACTGGACTCTCTTTCACTCGCCCTCTAAGAAAAAACTACTGCCTTATGAAATGCCATCCCTTTTTATTGATAACATCGAAATAATTAGAGTAAACGTTACAAAATTCTTAGGTGTTTATATTGATGATAATCTTTCGTGGAAAAATCATATTGAAAATTTATATAACAAAACTTCAAAAAGTTTAGGAATTTTATATAAAGCAAGAAACTTTTTAAATAAAAAAATTTTAACTCAATTATATTTCTCTTTTATTCATAGCCATATAAATTATGCAAACATCGGATGGGCTTGCACCAATAAAAGCAAACTTGAACCTCTTTATCGTCATCAGAAGCATGCAGCACGTTTGATACATTTTAGTGAACGTCTTACTCATGCAAAGCCTCTATTAAAAAAAATGAACGCCTTAAATGTATATCAACTCAATGTTTATAATACTCTTTGTTTTATGTTCAAATGTAAAACTAATTCTTCACCAGTTTCTTTCCATGATTTGTATATGTTAAAAGATAAAAATAAATACTTTTTACACAATAACAATTTTATTAAGCAGCCATTTTTTCAAACTAACTTGAGCAAATTCTACATTACTTCTCGCGGACCATTCTTATGGAACAAAATTGTCTTTAAAAACTTTTCTCAAGATTTTATCCAACAATGTAACTACAACTCTTTTAAACGAAAGTTAAATTAATTTTTACAATTGACGATCTATCAATTTACTTTTAATAATTTTTAATAGTTTTCCCATTTTACCTCCACTTATCAAAGAACTATTATTATTTTATAATTTATATATTTACCAAGAATATATATCAATATATACGACAATTTATATGTTTATTAACTTTTATAGTATTTATATAACTGATCTTTATATTTATAACGGGTTTTCTGAATATTTTTAATTTGTTTGTATCACGTTCATTTTAGCGGTTCTCGACGACAAGACCTTACGGTCTTCTACGAGTCCCCGCGTTCTTTTATTTCTTATTTACGATTTTTCTTTTTTGTTATTTTTAAAATTAAAAATTTGGCTCTACCATCTTGCTCTTGGTATGCAGAACTTTTATTAATTCATTAAGTTTAAAGTGACTAATAAATCTTTGTAATTTTTTTTCAACTTTTTAAATCGAATATTATCAAATTTGTTCTAATATAAAATGTGACTCAAAAAATCTTGCACGAAAAAAATAAAAATAAAATAGAAATAACAATAATATATATGTAAAAAAAAAATACATACACAAAAGAAGCAGTGACGAAAAAAAAGTGGCGAACTTTCACTCAACAAATCAGTTCAATCATTCAGCATACCAGTAGCAACTCTTTATAAGCGTGTCAACGGCATAAGTAAAACAATTAGCAGTGGTTCAAATCAGGACTGTGGAGTCGAAGTCGGAGTTGCGGAGTTGCGACATTTTTAGTGGAGTCGGAGTTGCTAAACAAAGTCGCGACTCCGACTCCAATAGTAAAACTTCTCGGTATTGCACGTGCATGTAAAATATATCAAATTAACCTATATTCGTACTAAACCTCAAAGAACCTTTCATAAAATGAAACTTTTCATAAAAGAACTTTTCAAAAAATTTTGTAACTTATTGCGTAATATTTTTTAAAGAATTCAAAGAATTTTTCAAAAATTTTGCTCTGGAGTTGGAGTCGGAGTCGGTGTTGGAGTCGGAGTCGTACTCAAAAAATTTCAACAACTGGAGTCTGAGTCGGTATTTTTTTTTTACGACTCCACACCCATGTTTTAAATACAAGATTATCGCAACATTTTGAATCAATTCTGGTAGATACACTCCCGATTTAGACTTTGGTAAAACTTACAATGACGTCATTGCCAAGGTCAATCTCATCTGTTTTCCAAATTTACATCAGGGAGCAGGGTCGGACTGGCTAGGGAGGTTAGAGGAGGATTGTTACTATAACCATAAATTTATTTTAGTATAGCAATAATGTGCAGAAAAAAGAGTAGTGTGACGCGGTATTTTTTTAATTTTATTTAGGTGCCTCAAGAAGTCCTTACGGTTTTATCACAGAGCACCACAGATGAGCATGTAATCGGAAGTTCACGCCCATGTCGCAAAAACTTGCCCAGAGGTGGGGTTTGAATCGCGAATCCTTTATTTCTGAGGCAAGTGTGCTACCCCTGCGCCACGGCTGCTCATTTTAGAATAACTATATTTTTAAAATCTTGCATATAAAATAAATTGATGGACGGAGTGCATGGCAAAGATACGGAAATTTGCATGCACATTATTAGAAATTTCATATATCCTTTTAACAAAAAAACTATGTGATTTAGAGCTTAACTTATTTTTGCTTCCCTGAAAGGGAAAAATTAGTACAAGCTTTTTATCAACCGGTGAAGTCATAATTTAAACATCAGAGCCGTTAGCAATACTTCATCACTCAGATCCCCCTCAGAACCTCTTTTTGCACGCAATAGTAGCGAAGCATTTTAATACACTGCAAAAAGAATTCAACGAAGCAGGTAATAACGAAAACACTTCATGTCATTCGTGGAATTTTGATAAAATTGGCGTTTCTGGTGATCAAGGAATGTGAGCAGCCGTGGCGCAGTGGTTAGAGTTCTGGCTCAGAACCCAGAGGTCCGAGGTTCGATGCCAGCTCCAGCCCAACAAGCGACAATAGTACGGAAGGAGGCGTGAACTTCCTATTAAATGCTCACCCGCGGTGCTCTATGATAAAACCGTAAGGACTTCTGGGAGCACCTAAATACATACAAAAAAAAAGGAAAGCAACACATAAACGTTTCACATTTCAGACGTTTTACATTTTAGACGTGGTGATAAACGACCATTGAAATTGCTTAATGAAAATTTAATTGTAAAGTTGGAAATTGCATCAATGTTGCCGGTTATCCTTTATTCGCCATATATTATTTTTAAATTAAAAAAACCTGTACAAAAAATTGGTGCTTAAGTAGTCCAGACGATGCCGTATACGCAACGTTTATACGCATACGTTTCAAACGTAATATGCGTACGTCTCAAACGTAATACGCATACGTTTGAAAGGTTTTTGAAATCATCGTAATGGTAGTGCAATTAATAACTCGTTAATTGAAATTAATTACACTCGTATATACAAATTTACATTTTCAATCTTATAATTTTAATACTATAAATTTGTAAAATCGTATCTAAAATATAATAAATAATTTAAAATTTTACAAGTATTTACAAGATTAATGTATATTAGGGTGGATCGATTTTCATAGCAAAAAAAAAAAAGTTTAAAAATTAATATTCCTGAGACACGAATCGATGTCTATTAATTATAAGATGAAAGGAAAAAAATATTTTTTGATTTTGATGAGATCTTGAGGTTCCTCTTTGGATTCTAAATCCTTGACGGTTCCTAATATTTTTGAATTTTTTTTTCTAAACTATATTAAGCTTGGACTCAAAAAAAGCAGAAAAAAATGCTTGTTTTATCAATAATAATTTTATTAAAAAAAAAATTTTAGTGAAAAAAATATTTGCAAAAATATACCTTAAAACCCACGTTTTGATAAAGACAGGGGTTTTTTAATGAAAAAAACGAGATTATTTTTTTTCTCCTTAGTTTTGAATTAAAACGAATATTATATTCAAAATAAGCGTATTATTCTGCTTCTTTTGAGTACCAGGTTGATATAGTTTAGAAAAAAAAAAATTTCAACAATATTAGGATCCGTCATAAATTTATAATCCAAAAAGGAACCTCTAAAACTCATTTTTCACCAAAAGACATCGATTCGCAGCTCAGGCAAATCAAATTTCAAAAATTTTTAAAATCGATCCACCCTAATGTATATGTATAAAATATAAGTAAATGAAATATTTGTACGTTCAGTTAAAAGCACGTCGTTTGATATGCTACGATTTTTATGCTTGGTTTTCAACATTACCATAGTAAATAAAATGTAATGCCATTAACTTATGATATATTATCAATCGTCAAACTTATTTACGCCTTCCATTGCGCCCTTTTCAATCCATGCCACCACTTTGTTTTCAATTCCAGGTAAAACGTCTTTATCAAAGAAAATCTATAGAAAATAATTGTTTTTGTTATCTTAATTTATTTTTTTATTTATAGAAAATTTATCTATATAAAAAAAATCAATATAAGCTTTAAAATTTAGACCTCTTTCCATACAAAGCCGAAGTCGCTATCTACGGTTTTGAAAAAGTAACGATAGGAACCTGGTCGATTGATTAATTGCTTAAAATCGTAAAGAGTCATCACGCCTAACCTTAAAAATATGCAGTTACATATAATATTATTGCAATTGCAAGTAGTAATACTGCAATTACAAGTAATATTATTACAATTACAGGTAATATTATTGCAATTGCAATTGATATAATTGCAATTACAATTAAATAATTGCAATTAAAAATAATATTATTGTAATTACAAGTAATAATATTGCAATTACAAGTAATAATATTGCAATTACAAGTAATATTATTGGAATTACAAGTAATATTATTGCAATTACAATTAATATAATTGCAATTACAAACAATATTATTGCAATTACAAATAATATTATTGTAATTACAAGTAATAATATTGTAATTACAATTAATAATATTGCAATTACAAGTAATAATATTGCAATTAAAAGTGATATTATTGCAATAATGTCACTTTTAATTGCAAGAAATATTATTGTAATAACAACAAAATGTTAAGAAAAAAAAATTATATCAGCAGTTCTCAATCTTTTTGGCGTCAATTTTGAAATTAATGACACACACAAAATCGTACAAGAAGCAGTTTAACTTTCAGAGATATTTGTCAACCGACATACAATTTTTATGTTGTCCTTTACATCAAAAAGTGCGAGAACTGTTATTTAATAAATACCTTATACTGGAAATCTGAAAAACAGGCGATGCAGTTTCTCCAAAAAAGTAAACAACTTTGACTTGATCTTTAAACGTTTCCACAGATTTTTTACCTAATGTATTTTATAAAGCGTCAAATTAAAATTAAATGAAAACTAAAAAAAATGTCCGAAAAAAAATCGGTTGTAAACCACAAAAACTTTTTATAACAAGAGAGAGAAAAAAATTATGATTCATTCAAAATTAAAAAAATTTAAAAACACAAGTGCAAACCACGTAAATCGACGCTTTGAAAAAGACAAAAATTTGCAATATGAGCGTATAGTTGAAATACTACAATAGCAACAACAACAACAACAACAACTATTATTACTACTTCTAACGCTACCATTAAGTCTATTATTACAATATATACAAATACTGAATATTATATATACTATATATACGGTACTTCCAGAGGGGAATTCGAATCTCTTGATTGCCAAGTGTTTTATCACTAGTCTACCATTGCATCTACAAATCCAGGGGGGTATTCACAAAAAATAATTTGAGCAGAAATGTCACCTCCATAAAATTTGAGTCAAAGACTTAAACTTTATGAAGGTGACGTTTCTGGATTTTATAGCTATAATATTTGCTAAACTGAAATATCATAGCTAGTTATAAAATTAGTTATAAAAGAAGCATTTTTAAGTTTATTAGGTGACTTGCAATTTACTTAGCAGGATAACTCCTTTAGTGTAGGGAAGGTGTCTTGGCAATTTACAAAATCCACACAATAATGCTATAGCCTCTGTATGACTTCCTTCTCAAGATTAACAAGGTTATGTATTACAGTTGTAGCAATTCAATTTTCAATTTTTACTTGTCATCTTAATTTTAAATCTGACTAATTACTTCTCAGATCACTTCATGCTGCAAATTAAAATAAATATTTGAATTATATTTGCAAAATAATATATTATTTTTTAAATTCTTTTTTTCCTGACCAGCTTCAAACATCATCGTATAAAATTTTTTGAAGCCAGTTGAAATCAGTTGAAGTTTTGTTCAATCAAATTCACATTAAAGGTAATAACTTGATACTATGATTACCTACATTGACAGTTATAAAAAAAAAAATACACAAATAACTTTTAACAACAAAATAAAATTACCGTTGCAAACATGTTTATTCTCTATGGCTAGTGTATTCCTTCCCTAAACAATTTTAATAAAAAAAAATTTATTTTTTAAAAAATGACTTCCGAACCATATATATATATATATATATAAATATATATATATATATATATATATATATATATATATATATATATATATATATATATATATATATATATATATTCAAACAAGGCTGTAAGCAACCATTAGAGTTGGAAGTTACTGGAAGAGAAAATATGAAGATTGTAGAGCAAGATAACAATTGACAGACAACTTAAAAGATTGCACATTATATGAATGAGGAAAGCAAGATGAAGGAAATGAATTCCAAAGAACTGATGTTCGAGGAAAAAAACTAGACAAATAAGATTTTTGGAGCACTTAGGAACAGTCAGGAGATAATAGAATGAGTTGCCAAGTCATAAAATGCATCCAGCTACTGTCTTGTAGAAGGCCTCCTTTGGCTAGGAGGCCTTCTACAAGACAGTAGCCGGATGCATTTGACATTGGCCCAAGATGAGTAATTTTATCGAGACACACCATCTCTAGCTTTTACTAAACCAAGAGTTCCAAGGAAGGGGGTGTTTTAAGTTGGAGTTGGCTTCTCCTAGCCTTTGCCTAAAAAAGCGTATCCTACAAAGCAGCAAGACATGAAGCAGATTGTACTGGGTTATATGTTACCAGTAGCAGGATAGCAGGATAACCTGACCTGACAAGATATGCATATATATATATATATATATATATATATATATATATATATATATATATATATATATATATATATATATATATGTTAAAAATATAAAAACATCAATCAATATGAGTTCTCTCAATACTATTGTTAATTTATTTGAAATTTTTGCTCGACTTTAATTACCAGCATCATCAAGTATAATATCGTAATTATTACGATATTATAGCTGACGATACTGGTAACTATAATCCAAGGAAAATTTCAAATAAATTAACAATAGTATTGAGAGAACTTGTATTAATTGATGTTTTTATATTTTTAACATATATACTCTCATACAAGATGTCAACATTTATCTCATATATATATATATATATATATATATATATATATATATATATATATATATATATATATATATATATATATATATATATATATATATATATATATATATATATATATATATATATATATATACAGGGTGTTAACTATGAATAAATTTGATACAGCATTTTGACGAAATTGGGAACTTGTCAATGAAATTTCCCAAATATATCACCCCCTCCCCTCCCCTGAGAATAAAATGTGTGGGGTCCTTTTCTTATATTCCTTCTTCTTCTAATCCACTTTAACGCTGCATACATTATGTGCCAAAAATAAAACAAAATACTGTCTTTAACATTTATTAGGTTGATACTTTTTTCCAGTGAGCAAACCCAGATTTCGTGTCTTTTGTAATCAAGACCCGAATTATTAAAACTTATTTTAACTGTTTACACTCATTTTCTTATAATAATTTGCGATAGATAAATAAATTAATATGTTTATTATATTAATTAATTATTTTTAATATATTATAGCAAAATTTGTTATAACTTATTTCTATTTAATATGAATTCAATATTCAAGCACTTATTATACTTGGGTCAGGATTTTATAAAAAAACGCAAAACCTGGATTTGCTCACTGGAATTTAGTTTAAACCCATTTATTGAAGATAAATATGAAATTAACACAAAATTAAACGTGGTTTCACAACAACAAGGCAAATTAAGCTCCGATCTGCAAAGATATATTCAGAATTATATATTTTTATATTATAAAATAATCAGTGTGTATTAATTAATTATTATAAGGAATTTTTTGATTATTATTAAAAATATTTGATTTACTAAAAGTAATCTTAATATATTATTGTCGCTTTCATGTTAAGAGTATTCATTTGAATATATAGACACATTTTTGACTGGTGGGCATTAAAGGGTAATTATTAAAATAATACAGCAATTTTTAAAGTAATATAGCGATCTTCTACTTGTAATTATTATCTAAATTCTGTTTAACGTCCTTTATGGACGAACCCTTACACCATCATGTAATAAATTGTGTCATCAAAAGAAATGTTTTAAAAATAGAAAAATAAAAAAGGTTTTGAAAATAGTAAACACAAGCTTGTAAATTTCATATTTCACATTTATTGTAAGTTCAATTTTATAATTAATATTAACTTTCTTTATACATAAATCGCATAGCAAAATAAAGTTACAATAACAAAGTCTCAGCAAAAACAACAACAAATGTTGTTTAATTACAAAAGAATTACAAAAGATTAGAATTGACACGATTGCACGCTATTGTGTCAACGAAGAATACCAGTTATTTTTTCATGCATAGTCATAAAATGTTGATGACTATGGTTCATTGAAACATTTAAATTTGCTTTAATGTTTTAAAATCAAGTAAGGGATCGTCCATAAATTACGCAATGCAAAACTTATTTAAAAAATATAAGTAGGAGATCATTTTGTTATTTTGCGTGGCGATTTTTGCTGGACTTGAAAGGTTGTTTATATACTTTTAATTAAAGACTCTGTAATAGAAAACTTTTAATCTTTCGTCTTTTGTCTATAGGTTTAATTTTGCGTTACATAATTTATGGACGATCCCTAAGCAGTGAATCTAGTTTTCTTGTTTTTTAAATTTCTAGTACCAGTTTGTTGTAAGAAAAAAAAAAAAAACATTCTTGTTATTAAAAGTATTTAATTTTCATTTTAATATACGTATTTAATTTACATTTTAAATATAAGCAGCCAGTAAAGTAAAGAAATCTATTTTCCTTACTAAATAAATTTCTAGAACCAGTTTATTATAATCAAAAAATAATTTTTTGTTTTTGTTTTTTTGTTATTCACCTCCGAGAAGGCCGAGAAGGCCACCACAGACGAGGAGGCTACTTAATAGTAGTTATAACCCTCTCTCAACTCTATAACTCCGAAACACGAACCTTGAAAAACAAGGCCGCTGCGCGGAGAAACAAGTTGAGCGCGGTACTACTAGGGACATGGTGGGGATCGAACTCAGAACCTCTCGCTTATGAAGCAAGTGTTTTACCACTACAGCACTACCGCATATTATTCAACTTATTTAACTTTTCAGCCAAAAAGGGCAAAACTTTTAAAGAAATAGTATTTGTGGGTGTTAAACTAAACAAATGTGCAATTTTCTAAATTGTAATTTATTCCTTGTTAACTTTTTTTTAATAAAATTTGCTGTTGTTGGAACGCAGTGCAAAAAAATTATTTGCAAATTTTTAGAAATGAATTTTTTTTCCGAGCTATTCTAGGGATTGTCGGAAAATCCCAATTCTCAAAAAGTTTTTTCCAAGAGACATTTTTGCAGTTATGCAAGCGCGTAGTTATACCAATAACAGCGATTTTATTTCAAGTTTTAATTAACAAATTACAATTTTTTATGTTATTCTTCTATTAGATTTTAACAGTAATTAATTTTCAATAATTTTTAGAACTATTAATAAACTTTTTTTAGGTAAACTTTATTTCAAGAATGGGATTTTTTTACTTATATATAAACGTATATATATATATATATATATATATATATATATATATATATATATATATATATATATATATATATATATATATATATATGTATATAAAAAAACCTAAAACTGACATTTTATTGGAAAATCTTAAAAATGACCATGCAAGAGTATATATATATATATATATATATATATAAATATATATATATATATATATATATATATATATATATATATATATATATATATATATATTTATATATTTATATATACTCTTGCATGGTCATCTTAAAGTTTTTCCAATAAAATGTCAGTTTTAGGTTTTTTTTAATTTTAAAGACCGGAAAACTTTTTTTTCCAATTATTTGATAGACTACCTATTCAAATCAAACTTTTAGTCGATGTAGCAGCATTCTGTTGCAAGTCAGGCTATAAGATAGTTAATGTAGCAATACTCCGCGCATGTTTTACAGTTAAAAAATGAAAATAAAAACTTTTAGAATGTTTTTATTTTTAAAAAATAAAATAAAACATTCAGAATGTTTTTAAAAACATTCTAGTCTTTTAATTTGCATTTTTGTGGTTTAACTACTTAATATCATTTATATGTGGTTTAACTACCTAATATCATTTATATGTGGTTTAACTACTTAATATATTTAAGGGGTAAACAGATTCTATCTGTTGACCAGCCTCGCACCCCTTCCTCATCTATTAGGCTGGCGCAGATGTATTTTTAATACATTGTTTCCAGTTTAGGATGTTGAACGCTGGATCTTCTTGACTCAATGTGTGGGTATTGCTTGTGTCTCTATTTTTATGACTGGGCAACTCATTCTATTATCTCCTAATGAGGGTACAGCTCTAAAACTCAGTTTTATGGTTCTGAGGCGGGCTGGTAGTCAGGTTTCCCGAACTCTGCGGTAGCTCTCAGAGAGGCTGATTCCATCAACAGCCGAAAAATATCAGAGTACTAACAGTGCCATGTTGCGCATGGATGGTGTCCCTGTTTGTACTTTTGGTGTGCATTGCAGAGGCCACATTTGGAGCCCTTTGTTACGGCTTAGGGTTTATTAATAGTAATGAGGCTATTGCTTAGTTGTTAAATAGTGTACTGAGTACTATCAATACTTGAGTCAAGTTCTTTATAAATTTAAAATGACTAAAGTACCTAAAACTAAAAAACACAAAAAAACATTGTCATCATCACGTTCTCTAAACCTATCATTTACTAATATTCGTGGTCTTCGAAGTAACTTTTCTTTTGTTGAGTCTTATCTCTTGCAAAGTTCACCAGACCTACTTGCTCTTTGTGAGACTAATTTGAGTTCCGCTGTCCCATCTTGTGATCTTAGTGTTGAAAGTTATCTTCCTTTAATTCGTAAAGACTCCAATAATCACATGCTTGGCCTGGGCATCTACATTCGTAAGAACTCACCCATTTGTCGTGAAACTAGGTTTGAATCTACAGACTATTCATTTAAGTGCTTT